TGTGATTCTATGATCTGTCTCTGCTAGTTCTTCCTTGCGGACCAGCTTTGAGTAACCCAAAGGAACTTGCAGATCTTATCTAGACAGAACAAACTTTTTTTGTTGTTTGTTTGTTTTCTTGGTTGATAGGGTATTTTTTTAATGCACTTAATACATAGAAGCTTGTGAAACCAGCTGTGAGCATGCAGTAAATAGCACTTCTGACATGTGAAAGAAACTTGTGTAAACAAGCCGATAAAAAGCTGCTGAGTTTGGTTTTCTTACAGATAATTTTACTTAGGTTGAAAATGCAGATTTATCTATACATTACTCTCAATTTATTGTGTTTTGCTACCTAATTCCTCTGTTAAGAGACACCTGTGGTACTACAAGTACTTTCTTCATTCCTTGATAAAAACACCAAAGTTTTTTATTATAAAGGATTGTAACTTCAGTCAAGTGTAGTTCTCAGTACTGTGGTGAATGGTGAATTAACCCACTCCTTAGCAAGCAGGAGGGGGTTTTGGTTTTTGGTTGTTTGGTTTTTTTTTCATGGTTTCTCATTACATCAATAGTTGCTTTTATAATTATCCTGCCAGGACAGAGAATCAGTAGATCTAATGTGGCATAGCTTTACAGGAGGAAGACTTCAAATAATGATATGTACATCCTTTCATAAAGAAGCATTTTTAGCAAAACACATCTGAAAAGCAAAAGAGTGGGTCTAGCTGCTGTTGTTTTCATGTGAAGCAGACTTGATATTATTCCCAAGATAATGGCATTAATTCCTGGTGCCTCCCGTTAATGGTGTCTTTCAGATGTTTTTTCTTTAAGGCATCAACTGGCTGTTTGAAAAAGATGAGGGTAGGGCACATCTTAGAGCTGCGTGTGTGGGAAGTTATTCTTGTGAAGAACTGCCTCTTAATATAAAGCTGGGAACTTTTTGCTGAAGGCTTTCCTTTGTTACTCCTCGTGCTTCGCTTTTTCATATTTAAACAAAGAATTCTTAATAATTCTTCTAGTTTTGTTCTAACTGGAGCAGGAAGACTGCTTGCTTAATAGAGAAAAGGATTTTAAGTCTCAGTCCTGAACTTTAGTTTTCCAACAAAATGATAAGTTTTATAGAAAAACAGATGCTGTCTATTTAGATGTTTTGTGATAAGTTGAGTTTTCTTGAAGGAAAGACTGAGCTTATTTTGTAAGCAGTTGTAGAAAGAAGCAGGAGATGGAGGGAGATGATAAATTCAAAAGGCTTCAGTACACATCAGTGCCAAAGCAGAATTGGAGGACAAGAGCAAACTTCTCTGTACAACTTCTTGCAGAAGTGTTATACTGTTGGCATGGCTTTCTAGACTTACATCCATCTTTAATGAGCTCTGTTGTGTTCTGAAAGGACTCTAATTCAGTGACTGTCAATTGTTTTTATACTTAATGTTTTCAGCACTGATAACTGGATAAAAAGTACAGGCCAGGCATTTGATTTGAATATATATATTTTTTAAATTTAAATTTTGCATTAGCTTTGAAATGTATTCTGCATTTTGTCAGTGATGCTTAATGAAATTGTCAGGACTTACAAGTCTGCCCAGGTTTCAGAATCTTATAATATATTTGCTGTCGGAAAAATATGAAGGCACTGCTTGTCATTGACAAACCTGAAAAATTAATTTGGAAGTATAAATAATGCCAGGATTTTACCACGGTCAGGTGGGATTTCTGAAATTACCTCTGGGTTCACTGTAACTTTACCAGAGTTCTTAATGTAATTCCTAAAATCTCATATCTGGTTAGAATGCTTTTTGCAGTTGCAACTGAAAAATCACTTGCCATTTGCTAGACATGATACAGGAGTATATAATCAGGTGTGATACAGAAAGACTGTCTGGCAATCAAATGCTCCTTGCCTTTTCCAAAAGAAACAAGGAGGTAATACTGAGAACAATGAATTTAAATCAGAAGGTGGTGGTTTTGTTTTGCTTTGTTACCCACCACAACACCCAACACAAAGCTGCTGCAGAATGGTTTCTCACCACACATACCCAACACAAATCTTTTGCTGCAGAATGCTGCAGATGTTAAAGTTGACTAAAGTTGAAATTCAAAAAAATATAAAAAGTTTTAAATGGAAAATATTTTGTTGTTGAAGTAACAATATGCTAAATGTTATTTTTTGATATTTTTTTCCCCTTTTCTTTTGGAACAGATGCTTTATTGTCTACCTAGCAACTGCTGCCTCTTTTGTCTTACATCAAAAAAAGAGTTGACTAAACTTTAATTGCTTTTATTTTTGTGGGAAGTGGGCAGTATCTGCACTCTGTATGTGAAGAAACTAAAATACAAAGAACAAATCTGCATGATGTGGTCCCTGAAACCCCACTGTGTAACCATTCCAGTAAAAATACAGCACTTTTAGGAAGTGCTGCATGCAGTGTGTTATCAGATACTTGGGAGCTCTGTCAGCGTAAGCCATTTTTGATTGGGATGCCTTGACATGACTTAGGAGATTAACTTCTCATCTAGATTTAAATTTTGGCACGAGCTCCTACCAGCAGAGTTGATATCAAAGGCAGGATTAGACCGAAGGGGTGCAGCTGTTCAGGAAAGTACCCATGGAATGTTGCTCTATCCACTGCTCTCTAGGATAATCTTCCTACAGAACTGGAAAAGTAGGTGAGCTGCATTCAATCCTGACCAGCTGAGAGCATGGTCTTATATCAGCTTTTCTGGGGGGAATACAGGTTTGCTCCCTGTCTTCTGAGTTGATCAGATCAGGAATTTCTCAAGTAACAGATACTCTAAATTTCAGACCTTCCTCTTTTACTTGAAGAACATAACTGACTACCAATGCCAGTAGCAAAGTTTGTTTGTTTGTTTTTTTCAAGTCATTCCTAATACTAAACAGGCTCTTCAAGACATTAGGGATGTGTATCTGAACTTTGGGCTTCTCAGTGACTGCTTATGTAAGAAACATAGAAGTTTTCTACTTGCAGTGTTTTTTCTCATGCATTTTTTCCAGAAGATAAATCAGAAGATTAAGACTTCCCAACAAAGAGATTGCCCATCTCCAACTGTTAGTCTAGATTTATATGCTTATCTCTGTAGTTTAGCTCATAGTATTTGAGTTTTCCTTTCACCAGACATGGAGAATGACTACAACTGGAAAATTTGAGGTACTCATACTATAAGTAATCAATACCGCTGAATTAGAAATTCAGTGTACAACTTACTTATGATAATCATGCAAAAACACTGCAGACAAAGTATATCTGTAATGTACTGTGACAGCCCAGTATGCGTTTTGGCCTGCTCTGAGACACTGAGTTTCGGATACTGCCCTGAAAAGTGCCTCAATTAGAGTATTGTGTCTGTGCATTTAGTAGTACTGTAGCTGTGCTGCGACTGACTGCCCTAAATCAACAATGTAATTTAATTTGCTTTTTCACTCCATTGTCCTTGGGGAGGAAAACCCAACACTTACTTCTACCTTTTAAGTATTTATTGAATGTTACAGGGACGTTAAATTAATTTTGAGGAAAATGTACACAATGTTTTAATAGCCAGGAAATGTATGTAGCAGGACATTTTAAAACACTCTTGTGTATACACTGCTGTTTGTAACATTATAAATAGATTTCTCTCTTTACATTGGCTTCGATTTTCAAAGCGTCTCGATTAATTTGGCCGGTGCACAGTCTCAAGTAATTTAGTTTTATGCTCTGTAATGTTTGCAAGAGAATAGCATTTGAGATTTTAAAGCTAATGTTAAAAATCAAAGTTTTCTCAGACAGAGATTGAGAAAAGTTCATTCTGAACACTACTGAGCTTGAGTTTCTTTGAGAAACTAAATAGTTTCTTGAAAGAAATACTTTGGCTGATGCATATACTTATTTTTAGTTACCAAAGGTCATATTTTTTCTCGTAACAAACTCCTAAGAGATTGAATTACCTTACTTGGAGGATGCTGTTTTGCTTAAAACTTGAAGAACTTCTCACAGAAGAGTTTAATAAGCTAGTATTGTACCCAAAGCACCCGCTTCAGTCATCAGAGGTTCCTGTAGTTATAATTGCACAGACATCTGAGACACAGACGAGAAGAAAAACCAGTTTTTCTGACATGTTTCCAGAAGCCCTAAACTATCTGAAGATTTAATTTCTTTATGAGGACAAGGCTTGTGGAGGAAGAATATTTCTATCAGATAAGTGGAAGAACAGAACAGTCTTTCTTTCTAGTTTTGAAACAGAAACAGTAGTATAAAGCTGGATGTGTTGAGAATAACTGTTATTGGGGTTAAAGTAGGCATGTTAATTTAGATAATGCAGGAAAAAAAGTGGTTTGTAGCTGTGGAGAAAAGGAATGTTAGTGGAAGGGAAGATACCTACTGTTTTTATGGGAACGGCAGCGGGTGCATAATTTACTGCTTATGGAAAGTGGAGGGCAGGTATGGGAGAAACTAAGATCTTGTAGCACAGAGATTGAAGCTCCTCACAAACATAATGAGGGAGGAAGCTGCAGGGAGTAGAAGGGGTTACGAACAAGGGAGGGAAGAGGGAAAGAGGAGATTCAGAAGCAGGCATGCTGGCTGAACTTACACGACCAATATGATCAGTATCTGGAGTCTGTACTGTAAACCAATCAGTTTCGCCCCCCTGTCTTCAGTAACTTGGGAATTGATGCGATTAGTTAAAAAAAAAAAAAAAACAGTTTTAATTTTGGAAAAAACAGTATTTTCCATTTCTCTGACTTGACAAACCAGTCTTTGGACTTTCGTAACCGAGGCTGAAACCAAAAGGTTAGTTTTTTTGGTGTTTTTTTCTTTTTTTTTAACATAAAAACGAGTCAAAACAGACATCTGATAGAAATTCTTAAAATACTTTCTCTGTATACTGTTAACACTTTTACAGTCTTATCATAAACATTTTCTAATGTGAAGAAGTAATGTTTACAGATCAGAATATATTTTCACAGCTGAAGAAACGTGCATGCTTCTAATTCCAGTTTAGTCCCAACAGTCTCCTGATACAGTTTATCTTGGAGAGTCACTATCAAATATTTTCATTTTTATGGTCTGAAAGCTGTGTTGCAGAAAGTTTTCTGACAGTGGCATTTCAGAGAACCTGTTATCACGTGTTCTGGTGAACCTGTTGTTTTTTATCGAATTTTGGATTGTATCTGAGGTGAAATAATACACTATGGGATCAAAACAGCAGTTTGAAACAGCGATGCACAGAGTGACAGGGTACATAGTCCTGACCGCAGTCACCACCGAGCAATTAATCCACGTCTGCGTTCTCATCAGAGAGTAAAGTATCAAGGTAATGTTATAAGGCACAAAACAGAAGCAGAATATCACCAAGTGCACAAAAATCATTTTGAGTACCTTTTTCTTGCTTAATTTATTCCGACTTAATGTAAGCGGTTTGTTCAAAGTCCTTAAGACCATGGTAGAACAGGTGACGTTCAAGATGAGGGGAATAAAAAACCCCACGATTTCAATGAAGATAACGATCCTGGACAGGTAGGTCTTCCAGGTGGACTCGGGGAAGTTTTCAAAGCACGTTCTTTGTTCTGTGTTGTTCTGGCGGTTTGTGGACTGGAAGAAGCTCGCCGGCGTGCTTCCTGCCAGCACCGTGATCCACACCGCCACACACACAATCCTGGCGTTCCTTTTGGTGCGGAGAGTCTTAGAGCGAAAAGGGTGCACTATGGCCAGGAAGCGATCCACGCTGATGCAGGTCAGGAACAGAATGCTCCCGTACATGTTGGTGTAGAACAGCGTGACGGAGATCTTGCACAGAACGTCTCCAAAGGGCCAGTTCCTTACCACGAAGTAATAAATCCTGAAGGGCAACGTAAACACGAACAGCAGATCCGATATCGCCAAATTCAGCATGTACGTCGTCGTCTCGTTCCGCACTTTCAATGTAAAAGTAAAAATGTAGATAGCAACGCAGTTGGCTATGAGGCCGAGAACAAATACCATGCTAAAGACACAGCCATATAAAGTGTATTTAAAGGAGTCCTCAGTGGAGCAGTTAGAGCTTACCATTATAATGGTATATCAGAAATACAAGCCTCCGTCGCTGTGACGCGCCGCTTTCTCGGGTGTTTTCAGGGCAACGTTTAAAAACTTCCAGCACTGCTGCAGATGTGCTTCTGCTCCTCCTCAGAGCTTCAGAGAAGCACCGCGTGTGGTGGGGTTCATCTCCAGGAGCTCGCTCCTCTCTTCCCACCGCCGCTGTAATCATGCAGCACGTTGTTCGCAGCAGACCAGGTGAGCGCCAGGCTCGCTTACTTACATCTTTCCTCCCTGCGGTAAAGGTACGGTTCGGTAAAGAACTTTCCGCCTTATTCTGAGCTGCAGCCCATGTCGTCCAAGTGGAAGTAACCGGGCACGACGTGGGTTTCAGAGAGCCGTTTCCCGGGCTCGGCGAAGCGTGGGCGCTTCCATGCCTTTTCCCGCAGCCCTCTCTGCACGACGAGCTGTGCAGCCCGGCGGAGGGCTCACCCCGCCGCGGGCGGGAGGCAGAGCGGCTGCGAGGGGCAGGGCGGCGCCGCGGCGTGTCGGCTCCTGCGGGAGGCGGGGAGGGAGGGAGGAAAGGAGGGGAGGGGGCAGGCAGAGCTCGCCCCATTCGTAGCGTGACATCAGGGGGAGGAGAGGCCGCGCCGGTCTCTGTGCCAGCGCGGGGTCTGTGGTGGTGCGGCTGCCGGGCGGTCAGTGTCCGCGCTGGGGTTGCCGGCTCGCCCCGCTGTGAGGAGGCGTGTGTCTGAGCGGCTCTCGCGCCTAAAGGTCAATGTTTCCTCGTTGGGGTTTCCTGTTACGTGTGCGGCCGAAGCTAAGCTTATGCTCTTGGAAAGACAGGTTTGCTTGTGATAACACGTTAATCACACCGAATCAGCTGATGTGCTCTGTGTTGATTCCCCTGATACATCAGTGTGTTCTTCATGAGGGACAAAGTGACGCTGACAGATAATTAATTTCACCTCGTGATTTACACAGGGGACGTGGCACAGGCATGGCAGACCTGGAGTGACCCTGGGACATCCCCCCAGCTGAGGTGTGGGGCAGTGAGAGACTGTAACCTGTGCTAGGAAACGTACAGAACCATCAGGATTGGAAAAGATCACTAAAATCATCTTGTCCAACCACCAGCCCATCCCACCATGCCCACTAACTGCGTTCCTCAGTGCCACATCCACACAGGTTCTGGAACACCTGCAGAGAGGGATGGTGACTCCACGGCCTCCCTGGGCAGCCTGTGCCACAGTGTCACTGCTCTTTCCAAGAAACTTTTCCTGATATCTAACCTGAACCTGCCCTGGTTCAACTTGAGGTCATTCCCTCTTGTCCTTTAATTCAGCTGAATTAAGTTGATTCCTCACGTGGGAAATTTTATCTCGTATCCCAAATTACTCCTAATCAGTAAAATGGTGCTTTTCACAAAGCGTGTTTCAAATACTGCACTATGCAGTTGGTTTTGATAATATAATGGGGTTATCATACGTGCCCAAAATATTCCCATTAGTCACCGATTAATGAAATGAAAGCATGTTGTAACTAATTGAATTGTTAAGTAATATATATATATATATTTTAAAGCAGCTCTTATGCCTTCAGGGAAGGCAGGTAGGAGATGCATCTCCATTTAGATAGAGTTGTTTATTTAGCATCAGCACGGACAGACTCACTGACTTCTGGCATCAAACCCAGTATGTTTCAAAGTCTTTGAACAACAAACCTCTTCATATCTGACTGGGTGGTGTGGCTCTTTGAACACTATTTTAATCAGCCGTGCATAAGCAAAGCTCTGCCAGGCAGAAACTGTCCAGTCTGTTGTAAAGAAGAGTAAGTAATTTCACCACGGGGTTTTGGCATTGTTTCTTAACGTTGGATATCCCAAACAAAATTCAGAAACATGTTAGAAAAAAAAGGAGAGTTTGGCTTATTTCATTTCAGTTTTGCTTCTGTGAAACCAGCTCACCTTGATTGTGAGTCAAGCAGTTTCCTTCAGTGGGCCATAATTACTAGAAATACATATATAAATATATTTAAATATTTCTGAAATTCGTAACTGTAAAGCAGAGTAGTGAAAAGGTGAGTGTGGCAGAGTCTTTTGTTTAATTCACTGAACTTGTAGTGTAACATACAGTTGCCTTCCCTGGCGAAAGCAGTTGTAATGTGTGGTTAAAAGTTGTTTCCTGACAGCCTCTTGGGGCTAAAGGGGATTTTTTAGCTTTTTTTTTTTTTTTCTTTCTTATGCATCCTGCATTGGGTCTCAGGAGAAAGATTTCACATGGTAATGACCTTCCTTACACACCACACCTTTGCTGCCAGCAAACCTTCCTTTGGGGAGGTGGGGGCAGGCAGGAGGAAACAGCTGCAGGGTGGGCCCTGGGGGCCTGGGGGGTTTTTTCCTGCAAAGGAAATGATGCTGCTGCTGAAGGGAGATGTGTGTTTGAGTCTGCCTGCTTTTCCAAAGACAGGAATGTCTTAGGCTTATCCTTTGTTGCTAATGGTAGGTGAGCAAAGGCTCCTTTTCCATCAACAGGAGAGGGAGGATGGGAGAGTGAGTGTGTGCTTCTTGAAGCCAAGAGTTGATGTAATGCTAGAGATCATCTCTCACTTCAGCAGTGAGTGGATTTTGTAAGCTTCTTCACTTGAGTGTCCCTTAGCTCTGCTTACCAGAGTTTAGATATCCAAGCTGAGAGAGCACACTTTGCACCCTTGAGTGATGTTCAATTATATGCCAGATCTGTTCTAGCACTGAACAGAAGGAAGAATCCTCATAATCCTAGCAATTTGCAAGTAAAGCAGCTGGTAGGACCTTGCCAGCAGCAGTTGCTGCTTCAACTGCTGCATCTTTGTGCCCCCAGATGTCCTAGAATTCACTGAGTTTGCTCTCAGGACACAGAGACAGGAGCCCTTAACTTCAAAAGTCCAGGTGGAGTTGCAAAGAAATGTTTCATTGAAATTAAAACACCTGTTTGAAGGCTTTCCAAACTTCTGGATTTTCTGACCAGTGTTGCATGTTCCTCTAGTGTTTTTCAGGTCTTCAGTGCTGGAATAATACAGAAATTGCAGGCAGTTGTGAATTTTGAACTTGTATATTGCATTGTTGCTTGTAATAAATGTTCTAACGTATTTTTGAGGAAAAGCAACTTCAACACTAATAACACTGTAATGAATTTAGAAGCACTGTAGTGCACTCTGCTAAACAGTTTGTCAGAGATGTGGGCAACATCGCATGCAGCTCTATTACAGTGTAAAGAAACAAGTGTTCTACTTGTAGAGACGTATCCGGAAGACAGCATTTGTTCCCACTTCAGTTCAGCAAGCTCATGCAAAAGAACTAGTGCTATTTGTTGCACTGAAGACAAACCATGGCAGGATGGTATTTTTTTTGACCTAAGTCTTACTCATTCATTTTCATTGGTAATGATGACTCCTGAAGTGCTTTTAGTCTATTTACTACAGTTCCTGTTTGAGTGTGTGTGCATGTACAGGAAGGGATTTTTAATGGTTGGGATGGGGAGCCAGGAAGTCTGTTTCTCGTTGTGTCAAAGATATTTTCTTCCAATCTTGGTAGTTTTCTGTGATATTGTTCCTTCTGTCTGTGTAAGAGCTAGTTCACTACTTCTTTGCAATGTGAGGCCATCTGAATTGTTTAAAAAGCTGGAAATCCTTGGATGCAGAACCCTTTGTTAAATGTGAGATTGGGATAATTATAATGGCTAGAATGTCCTCCATGCAGACAAAATGGCACCCACTGACTCCATTGAAGTGTTCACTGAACACTTCTGGAGACCAATCAGTGGATGTGAGCACAGTGAGGCAGTGGGTGGTACATTTCAGCAGTGGGTCACTTCCACTGGAACAGATTTTCATGAGCATGGCCTGGAGGCACTTATTCATTGCTGAGGAAAAAGCATAGCTCATGGTGGTGACAATATTGAAAAAAATATTTTGGAGCTGAGAATTTGCCCTATCAAAATGTTACTGTACTTTTTGTATCTGTTGTCGTTTCCATGAAAATAGGAGGCATTACTTTCAGAGCAACCTACACAAGCACACTGAAAATCGCCTTTTTCCTTAAAAGCAAACAAACAAAACAACAACAGCAAAACTTAAGTGTAGCAGACAAGTCTTAAAATGAGTGTTCCATGTTTTGTGGTGAACAGACAATTGTTACCAAGCCAGACTAATACTGGATGACTTATTGTTTTGCCAGTAAAAGACTCCTACATATCAGGAAATGTGCTAGCTTGATGCAAATGAAACTGCACGTACCAATAACAAGTAAAAGTTAAAAGAAAACTTAAATATTTTCCACCAAAAGTGGACGTTTGGACTGACTAACCAGTTTTCTGGATTGGTTTTTGTTTCCCCAGGTATGTTCTAATACATAGATGCCAAAAATCTTTCAAATATTGTTTAAAGGATAAAAAAAGTAACAAAAGCTGAAGTATCTGGCAAAGCGTTTGTGAGTTTCTTACGTTCTCGTAGTTAAAATAATTTGTGTAATTGCTTAAAAAGGAAAAAAAGGAAGCTCAGAACAAAATAAGAGTTCTTCGTTCCTGCACATCTGAAATGCTTCTCTCTTCTCTTTAGAATTGTTTGAATTTCCTTTATAGGAAGCACAACAGTTCCTTCCCTGCTTGCAAAAAGAGGAAACAATTTCTCTCCTTTTGTTTAAATTAAAGTTGCTGGAGCCCTTTCCCCCCCCCCCCCTCCTTGTCTTCATGTAGAGGCAGTGTTTTGGGTGCAAATATAGATGTTTTGCTGGTGTCTCTACGCAAGTCAGGCTTGAAGGGTCAAGCTTGAAAGATTGATTTAGTTCTTTGTTCTTAATTAATTAATGTGGAAATCTTACATCGAAAATGCCACTTTTAGTCAAGTTCTAAGATTGTGGGGTGGTGTATTCTGAAACAATTCTTTCTATAGTTGTTCTATGTCCATGTATGAATGAGCAGTTTCTTCGGACCACTTTAGCTATAAAAAAATTTCTTCCCTGCTTTTTGTACTGTCCTTTGTACCTAATATTTGAATGAAGAGTACAGAGAGCATATTTTTATTACGGAATTCTGCGTCAAAGCTTATATAGAGTCATAGGATGGTTTGGGCTGGCAGGGACCTTTAAGATCATTTAATTCCATCTCCCCTGCTGTAGGCAGGCACACTTCCCTCTAGAGCAGGTTGCTCGAAGCCCTGCCCAGCCTTGAACTCTCCATATATAATTTGAGAGGAAAATGAGCATAAGTGGATTAATATCACTTTTAAGTAACTAAGAGGCAAATAAGTATATTTTGCTGCTTTTCTCTCCAAGCTGAAATTTCTCCTTTGAAGTGGAACTCAGAAGTGCTGCTGTTGGGACTGTGTTCAGGCATTGCAGTAGCCATTAGCATAATGTAATCCTCAGTAAGGCTTACAGGTCTACTTGAAGCTTATACTCTAATTTACAGAGGAAATTCTTGAGAGGCTTATTAAGAATCTTTAAAATGCTACTAATTTGGCTTTTTCTCTTCTTGTTTCATTTTCATTTTGCATAAAAGGAGCTAGATTCAGGGAAGAATTTCCTACAGTGATGGGAAAAAGTGCAGAAGTAGGTCCTGGAGTATGTCATACAAGATACTTCTAGAATATTCTATTTCAGAAAACATACATTTACAGCTTAGAGCTTATTCTTGGCATTTTTGGTTTCTGTTGAGCATAGCAGTTTGGATGTTAGCTGAAAGTAAAGGTTAATTTCAAGCACAGAACTGCAAGTTTGGAAGTAATTCTTGTAATAGCAGTGGTAGGAATATGCAGTGTCTAACACTGAGAAGAGCTTTGTTGTCTCAGAGTCCCAGTTACCTTAATTAACTGGCTTACCTAGAAGTATGTAAATGGCATAGTGGGATATGCAGATTGGTCATTTGCATTATAAAAACACGTGAACAGTTATAGCAGTGTTTGAGGCCACTAAGATGACTGATAAATATTTGCATAAAGGTTCTTGGTTTGCATTTTATGTGCAACTCATGGAAATCCTAGCAGAAGTTTTTTCTTATATTCTAGAATTATTTTGATGCTCCAAGTAATTCTTTTTTTAAGAATCACAGAATCACAGAATGGCCAGGGCTGGAAGGGACCTCAAGGATCATTGATCTCCAACCCCCTTGCCACAGGCAGGGCCACCAAACTCCACATTTAATATTAGACCAGGCTGCCCAGGGCCCCATCCAACCTGGCCTCGAACACCTCCAGGGACGGGGCATCCACAGCCTCTCTGGGCAGCCTGTTCCAGCACCTCACCACTCTCTCTGTAAAGAACTTCCCCCTGATATCCAGCCTAAATCTTCCCTCTCTAAAAACTCGATTATGAAGATGTCAGGAGGGAGCAAACAATAATTAGATAAAATATTTCTATGTTGCTGATATATCACTCGTTATCTGGTGCATTTAAAATAGTGCCCCGTGCTTTTCTCTAATAAATGTAGCAACAGTAGGTAAGAAAAGCATCATTTACTTACTCCTCCCTTCCAGCTTAATTTTTACTGTTTGTAGATACAAACAGCAACTGTGTCTCTGGGTTACAGAATGCCAATTTAAGCCTCTTCCCCCTCTACGTCGTCATGCTTGAAGGGAGAAATTAGTTTGCATGAAGAATGAAATTGCCATTTCTGTTATGCATCTAATTGAATGAATCTGCTTGGCAAGAAGGGAAACTCTGAAAGTTGATCAAAAATACCGCTTCTGCTGTGTGGTCTGGTATTTTTCTGAGGCTGTATGGTACGTGTAGGAGGTGTTGTACAGCTGCTGGGGCAGTGACATTGTGAGCAGGGAGTTTTAAATGGGTATCCAGACACAGCTCAAGATGATGTCTGGAGCTGTGCTTTATAAATTAATTGAGGAAAACTTCTTCAGGTGCACTGCAGTGTATTCACCTGTGAAGAGATGGTATGAAATTGTCCTTCAGAATACATTGGACATCAGACAATTCCATCGTAAAAGCAGAGCTAATAGGACAGTAGGTTAGTTGGTGGTTAGGTAACATTAAATCTTGAAGCTTTAAGCTTTTAATTGAGTGGTTTTAAACAAATGAGCTAAAAAGTAAAGGATCACAAATATGAAAAGCTAAAAAGTGCACTGACATGATTCAGAGGGAAGGAAAATGTTTCCATTAGGATTAGTGAGCAGTCTTAGCTCATAAATTACTTAGAATAGGTAGGAATAGGATGAAACTGGTTAACTAGTTTCTTAAATGTTGAGTAGGAAGAGAGATGCCTTAATAAGAATGAAATACCTGAATTCTTTGCATTTTTAAAAATGTTTTTAATTAAAAGAAGGCATTTATCCAACCATTCTGCAAACGTGATTGAAATAGTTACTAGGTCTGAGATTTCTCTCAAATTTGGATGTATAAAAATAAATAAGATGGCTTTCTTTAAGACTGGTGTATTCAGGCTCTACTTAAGTTTGTACTTTTAAAATCATAGCATTAGAAATACAGAGTTCAAGTGAAATGGGTAGAAATTTGCAAAACGTTCAATGACAGAAAATTCATATTCAAAATAACGGAGGTGTAGAAATGTGGCTTTTTTATCAAAGAACTAAAAATTCAGGTGGCATAAATAAGAGAAGACAAGGAATTCTGAGGAGATTGGAGGCACTTCATTAATTATTTTGGAAGCCATTCCAAACATACAGGATGAAATGGAGACAGACAGAACTTAGAGAAAGAAGGCTATAATTTGTTTTGTTTCTAAGGTAATTACTTGTTATTTTTTTAGGTCTTTAGTCAAAGCTTGTGCTCAACATCTATTCCCATTCTTCTTTTCCCAGAACTGAGGTGGGTTGGTTCCGTGTGAAGATAAGTGCTGTTTATCCACATAGGTCTTTAAGATACATTTCACTTCCATGCCAAATTACTTGCAGCCACCACATCAAGTACTTGCAGCCTCTTGCAAGTTTGACAAAGTAAAGCCTCTGCCTTTATATGAGAGGATTTTAACCTCTGCTTGTCAGAGACCACACAAAGCTCACAAACAAATTCATATTCTCGTTCCTATACAGGTCAGCATTATGAAGCTATTGAAAAAATTTACCATAGTCATTCTCTTAAGATTTATGTGTATTCATAGAGGTGTTTTTTGTTTTTTTTTTTTAAATACAACCATGGAATTACTTTGGTTTCCTTCACAAAACGAGAATGTAAGAAGTTAGAAAAAAACTTTCATAAGAGTTGTTCAAGCTGGTAAGCTAATTAAGCTGAGATAAATCCTGACATGAAAATGCTTGTCTGGGGAGAACTGCTGCCAAAAAGCAGATCTTGGACCTGATTAACGTGAAGAACTATTACTTTCTAAAAGTGTCAGTCAGCAAATAAACCTCTTTAAATTCTGCATCATAAGATCACTGTAAATGATTATGTAGCATGTTGTTACTACTAGTAAACAGTCTTATACTTCAGCTGACTTTATCCCTACAGTGGCTCTTTCCTTCCAGCCCAGTTTTCTGAAACTGCTGTGCTGAAACACAAATTCAGTGCTTCATTCATTTTTTTTTTGTTGTGTTGACCACTTGGGGCAGTAACTTTTCCAGCATGTCAATCAGGTTGTACCTAGAAATCAGAAATAGCTGAGACAGGGGAGTTTTAGGTTAGATGTCAGGAAGAAGTTTTTCACACAGAGGCTGGTGATGCACTGGAACAGGTTGCCCAAGGAGGCAGTGGATGCCCCATCCCTGGAGGCATTCAAGGCCAGGCTGGATGTGGCTCTGGGCAGCCTGGTCTGGTGGTTGGTGACCCTGCACATAGCAGGGGGTTGAAACGAGATGATCTTTGTGGTCCTTTTCAACCCAGGCCATTCTGTGATTCTATGGAATTAAGAACACAAATGTCAAACTTTGGAGGTGGGACACAGGGCATGCTTCTCATGACTTTTTTTTTTGTTTGTTTGTTTGTTAATTTTCTGCTGAAATCTTGGAAATAATGGAGTTGGACGATCCAAACCAACCAAAGCAGCATAATTTTAAAAAGGAGAAGCAATTTTTTTCCATCAGATAAACTTCTTCTGGCTTCTTAATCTTGATTGAAAAGACTTTCATGACGGAAATAGATTGATCATGTGAATATTTATTAGTAGACTTTCTGGAAGAGTTAAGTCATTCTGGGAGGTAGATGTTGGGGTGACCCCGTCAAAAGAGGGAAGCTGGTGTCTCTCCACCTAGCCTCAGTGATCTCTACTGAGCACTGAGATCAGAAGTCTTCCTCTGTAGTTTCCAGTGAGCCATCCATGTGGTATGGTTTAGGTTCCCCCACATACTTCTAGGTCATGAAAGTGGTCTACTGAATGAGGAAAATTACTTAGTTTAAAACTAATCCTAGCAAATATATAATTTCCGTGGTCATATCAGTGTTAACGTCAAAGACTGTAAAGGTCATAGTGAGATCCAGCTGGTGGCTGGCAGCATATGCTGTCATGCATTCCAGTTGCTCCCTTTTCTGGGTTTTGTGATACTTTTTCAGCTGCTATCTGTGATGATTTGGCAGTGCACTGACAGAGATGGAAAAAATTAACTTGTCTACACAAATCCTGCTGTTCTGTGGTAAAAGCAGTAGTTTTGAGAGCTTCAGAAATTATCAGTACTTGCCAGTCATATAAGTTCTGAAAAAAAAAGAAGAAAACATTGGTTGATATGGGCCAAGGGATAAGAGTGAGTGCATTGGTACCTGTTATTTAGTGAAGAGCACAGAGTTCCTACCTCTGTCTACAAATATTATTTTAACTGTGTACTTCTTGAGCCCATTAGGTTTTCATGTTTCTTTGCAACAAACAGGGAAGGGTACGGTTTGTATGATTACACTGGCTTAAATGTGAGCTGTTGCTCAAGGTAATCATCCTGCCCTTCCTTCAATCCTGTTTTTTCCCTCATGATTTATGTACACATGCAGTCTGTTGGATGAGGAAAATGATTAGGTTTTAAACAAATCCCAACAAACACGTAATTGCTGTAGTTGTGGCTGTGCTTACAGACTTAAAGCAGAGGACAGAGCTCAAGGTGCAGGTGCTGAGGTGCCATTAGGGACGTACCAGTGCACACAATGTTGATTTAGTCCAACTGTGAAATTTTACAGTGAGTGTTGTGGTTGGATGTTCAACTTCAAGGCTTTCAAATTCTGTTTGCGTTGACATTTGGCCCGAGATCAATTTAGTGTTCGCCACACGAGGCTGAGAAGGGTCTGCTAAGCTCAAGAGTGAGTTCTGCATTTCTGATGTTGCAGCTTATAATTTATCTTAGTGTAAATGGTTTGAAGCAGTGATACTACTAAAATAGAACCATGTATGCTTAATTATTTCACTAAGGGCCATAAGCATGGGCAGTAACGCGCTGTGCTTTGCTGTCTGAGATCAACAGGGATGTGATGCAGGATGACAGCCTAACAGTTGGCATTGAAGATCCTGCATGTTTTCTTACTTCGCTGTGGTGAGTGCTTTGAGCTGACAGTCTTCAGTACTGGCATCAGTTTCCATTTTCCTTGTCATGTTAAGATCTACTGACTCACGTCAACCAATCTAGATAGTTAGAAAACCACAAACAAACACGTCACAAGTACCTTGTGTAGCGTGCAGTTAAGACAGAAAGATAAAGAAGTTGGGTGCAGAGAGAGAAATTCGGGTTGAGGCTGTCAGTTGTGTGTCTGACTTCAAGAATTCCTTCATTTGCACCCACGTAGCTCACTGGAAGTTAGTGGTATCATCTGTCTGCTGAGCACTTTTGCTATGGCCGAATCACTGATGCATGTGCTTCAGACAGCTGCAGAAAACACACAGTGGGTGACAAAAAAGGAGATGATTAGATATTTAAGTTCAAAATATACAGAAATCTACGTTGCAGGACAAGTACTAATTGACTTTTGCATCTGAATTTTGAGGTGCCTTGTAGGAGATTTCCTTAAATAGCCATTTCCATGTAAGACTTCTGCCTGCTGCTCTCACACACTCGTGGGTGCATCTTGGACTGTAATATGTTGCAGATATGCTTTGGTTTCTGTACTTGTTTTAGATTGTTACATTTATGTTTGCACTGATGACAGTGAAGCTGCCCATAACAGACATGGCAGTAAGCAAAAGCAGAAATAGGCATTTTCTATAGAAGAAAGGCAAAAGCAGCAGAGTAAACCTGCATCCCAAAGAAAGTAATTCCTTTACATTTGACAGCAGTTTCCATGTGTAATTTGTCTATCTTCCTTTGAGAGAGAGAGAACAACACTGGAATGCACAGAACAACTTTATATATATATATATATATAATATATGTATATATATGGCTAAGAGTGAGTTGGTGTAAAAATGCTTCATTTCCTTACCAGAAGCATGTTGAAATTTGGGGGTTGACTTTTTAAAGTATTCATTTCATTCCTGATTTTTTTTTTTTGAAGGAGAAAGCTTTTCCTTATTTGAATACAGCAGAGATTAGAGCTATCACTTTCTAAATTCATGGAAATTTAAGGTAGTCCTCTCTGAGTTCATTTTCATAGCAAAGTTTTTAAAATTTATATATATGTATGTATTTAAAAAGGTGAACCCTTTATGTCCTCTGGCCTGGGAGAGGTGAGTTTTATTCCATGTCTGCACAGCTGGAACACACACAGCTTCAATATTGAACTGCATGTTTATGGTTGCAAATGGGAAGCATGTGAAAGGTGGGATAAGGAGAAGTGGTGAAGCTGCAGTTACGGTTTGTCTTTCAAGTGCAAAATAATAAAGAGAAGCTGTAAAATTCAACAGACTTGGGATTGCGTCATTGCCTGTATAATGTGCAATCTTTACGCATTCTGGAGTTGGAGAACTAGAGGGAAATATTCTTGGTATTTCCAAGGTATAAGCTTGCTGTGGGAATTAATTTCACTGAAATTACTTCCCAAAGGGCTTTTCAAATAATAATAATAAAAATAATTTTAAAATAATAATAAAAAAATCTTTAGAAGCTAATTTCATTTTCCTGAAATTTCAGGAAGTAAAACTTGAAGCAGAACACTTCAATTTTCTCAAAATAGGAATTGTAAAATGCAGTGATTTCATCAGAAACGTTGAAACTGTGGGTTTTGCTCCGTTTATAAACGACTGAGAATTTCTGACAATAAAAAATTTCAGAAAGCTTGAATATATGTATTAAAAAAAAAAAAAAAAAAAAAGCACGTTGTTACTGAATAATGTGACATTTTTCTTGTGGAAGCAGCAAGATGTTTATTATCATACGATCATAGAATGGCCTGGGTTCAAAAGGACCACAATGATCATCTAGTTTCATCCCCCCTGCTATGTGCAGGGTTGCTGACCACCAGACCAGGCTGCCCAGAGCCACATCCAGCCTGGCCTTGAATGCCCCCAGGGCTGTTCAGCTGTGAAATGGGAAATCTGCTATTGACATGTCAGAAAAAAATATGCTAACTTCGCCTTTTTGTAAAAGTTGATTTGAAAGTTTGATTATGATTAATATTGCTGCCCTCAATCCCTGCAAAGTTATGCAAACCAGAGTGTTTTAAGTGCAGGCTTTTGTACTCAGTAGGCATCAGCAGGGCTTATCTCTTGATCTAACTTGCTTTTGTCGCAGCATTTCAGTGCTCAGGCACTTCTGTCCGCTAACGTTTTTTTTGCTAAAGTCACTTATCTTTACATGGCAGTTCCTGTAATTCAAAGAACTAAGAAAAAATATAGCACTGTATATTGTTTTTTAACTGCCTCGAAGAAACTAAAAAATGAGAAGATTGACTATGTGGTACTGTCACCTGACTGCTGCAGCTGTCTACATATCTGTTATTTGTTATTCAAATAATTCAGAATGGCAGCATGCAGTTTCCTCCAACCACTCTTTGTACCATCCGTCAAACTGCTGAAGTGAATTAAAAAACATTCATTTTATATCAAGTAATAATTAACAATTGTATCACGTAATATCGAGTAATCAAACATTGCATCTTTGGCTGCTTTATATACATGGAACAGCATTTAAGGTTTGCCTTTTATGGTGCAAACTAGAAATGAAGTGTTTCAGAGCACTATAAATCAGTAATTTTCTGTATCATTTCCTTCTAAATAGCTGAGGGGGAGATGTTCTGCCACCAGTCAGCCTGTTTTTCCAGAGCCTGAGTTAGCCTACATTGATGAGTCTTCAGAAACAAATGTTGATGTTTGGCCATGAGGAAAGGCACTGAGTATCCTGTCTTACCTTATTTGCTGAAAAATAACCTGGGTTACGTTTGGCAAGTGTTGGATTGAGCTTCTTGTATGTGTTACTGACATCCTAGTGACCAGTTTACTACATAGATGCACTCTCTTGGATTTTACGTATAGATTTTATCACATTTTTTTGCCCCTTTTTATGATTGTTGCCCTTCCTCTCCTGTTCAGCTGCATCTTACTGTGTTGCAAGTACATCAAAGGAGGTGTGTTTTGCATTTTATTAAGGTTTTTTTCATGTTTCTGAGGATCTTTGGATAACTCTGTGGATTCTTTGGACTCCCATCATTTGTTGGTAACACTTGTGTTTGGGTACATTTTTCTATCTCAGATGTATGAAAAGCTAGTGTAGATAAACAAACTTTAAGATTGTTTCTGTTATGGATGTACAGATTTATAGCTCTTAGTTGAGGGAGTCAGCCAATGCCATGGCTTGGTGAAATTGCTCTCATGGAGAAGAGGAGAAGTGAAACAATCAGAGGGAAGCCTGGGTGGCAAGGAGGCCAGCAAGCTTCGTAATAGTAGAATTAGCTCTACAGCATTAGCTGTAAAACTTACAGAGAAAGCAGCAGAAAAAATACTTACTAAATGGTAAAATACTAGGTTTGTAAAATAGCTAAAAAGTATGAAATGAGTGTAACATTAAAAAAAAATAAATAGTAGGGTCTTCCAGGTTTTTGTCCAGACAAATTATTGACAAGTTTGGAGGTGTCTTTTTGATTTTTCTATTGTTTTGTGTCATACTGCCAAAATTTCTTATGCTCAGATTAGGAGGAATGTGTTTTTAATGAAGACTAATCAATCCTAGAATACTTTGGGTTGGAAAGGACCCTTAAAAGTCAGTTAGTTCAACCAAGAATTCCTTTAATTTTCTTAATCTGACCTCCTGTGCACTGCTTTCTGTCTTCATGGTATTGCATCTTATCTGATGGTTACCCAATTGCTTCCAAGGCAGAAGATCTAGAAGGCATCTTGTTTGTTTCGTCATTGTGCTCCAAAAGCTGATGGGCTGTGGGCTGATAGCTGAGCTTTGCCTATTCCTTTGCCTATAATGGTGATCACAAAAGTAAAGGTTCAGACTAAAATCAAAACTCATCATAAGGGATGGGTTTATGCCCAAAATGTTGGTGTGCTTTACTGTAAGAATGTTTTGCTACAAATCTATTTTTTCTTTCATTTTTATGTATAATTGTTTTTCAGATGGAAATATTTTCCTAAAGTGATCATTAAATATGTTTTATACAACGGTATTCTTGCTTGTATTGTAGTATTTCAATATGAAGCACAGCACTGATGGTAGAATCGTGCCATAGAATCATAGAATGGCCTGGGTTGAAAAGGACCTCAATGATCATCCAGTTTCAACCCCCTGCTATGTGCAGGGTCACCACCCACCAGACCAGGCTGCCCAGAGCCACATCCAGCCTGGCCTTGAATGCCTCCAGGGATGGGGCATCCACAACCTCCTTGGGCAACCTGTTGCAGTGCCTCACCACCCTCTGAGTGAAAAACTTCCTCCTAATATCTAACCTAAACCTCCCCTGTCTCAGTTTATAACCATTCCCCCTTGTCCTATCACTATCCCCCCTCGTAAACAGCCTTTCTCTCTCCTGTTTATACACTCCCTTCAAGTACTGGAAGGAGAGGTGCTCCAGCCCTTAGAACCCCTTCTTGTTATCTTTCACATCCTCACCATGTTCAGCTCCATCCATGTCATACCATGGATATCACACTGCTTTTGGAAATCCCTATTTCTTTGCCTCATTTCCTACTTTAAACTATAAATGCATGTCGCAAGTCACAGTAATTTTTACTTTTCACTATCATATGTTGTTCTGCTCTTACTGCAGCTTCTTAATCTGACTTGTCCCAGCTCATGCTCCTTTTCTAGAGGACTGCTCTTTCAGTATTTACAACTCATGGTAGCAATACATGTTCTTGGCAGATTTTTGGTGTATCTGGTTTTGTCCAATTGAAAACTCAGCAAAAAAGATAGTGTTGTGCTTTTTTAAAAAGGGCTGTGTGCAGAGTTTCCTGGCATGCTTACTGCTTCAAGTGGATTTAGAGAGTTGTTGGTGATATATTATGCCTACGTTTGTCCAGCTAATGAGAAGCTGGGAAGAAAATGAGACTTTAAACTGAATTGTTGACTTAAATCAAAAATCTTAGAGACACCACACCATTGGTACCTGAAGGATACTTACATGAAATGGTTTCTCGTGAGATACATGTTGCCAGTTGAAGGCAGAGGTTTCAGTGCTATGAATTCTTGCAATGGATCACGTAGGGGCTGAGCTGGTGCACCATGATCTGCATCCCAGCACAGAGAGAGAGCAATAAAACGAAGAGGATACAGGCTTGTTTCCTGCCTGATGTGGGGCAGGCAGTGTCACTTGTTTTCATCAGCATGTCATTATGCTTGCTTGTTTTCATCCACATTTAATACTGCTTTGTAATCACATTGGAGTGTTTTGCCAGGTAGAAGATGAGAGATGTGAGAGCAGAGTCGTGTCTACACTTGTACTTGGGAAAAATAATTCCTGGAACTCTTGATTTGTGATTCTGGGAACAGCAACTGTGTAAGTCAATTAGAATAGAAACAACCAGAAAGAGGGAGCTTAGTGTGATATGGTGCTGGTTGTTACCACAGCAATTATAGAAATTCATCATCTTTACCAAAGTAGGTATTTAGTGACCCAGATTTTCTTCTGAAGAAAGTAAGTGTTTAAGTGCTATTTTGCTCCTGAGTGCAATGATTTTTCATGTATGAGAATAATTACAGAAGTATTGTTCCTAATACTTTCGGTCCTTTAAAGCATCTCTTCTTGCTTTGCTTCACGCTCTATAATGTTTTCACAGTTTAAGGTTGTTGATACAGTTCTCAACCTCAAGATTTTTGGCAGGACATTTTGTTGCTGACTGATGCATCACCACTTCCGACAGTCCAGTGGCTCACATCAAGAGGGTTTTAGTTTACATACTGTGCACAATTTCTTGTGCTGAGAGAGAAAACACCGGTTCGAGTTCCCTTTGTCTTTGAGACCTTTGGCTTCTGCTTAAAAACCTTGGCAAGTTAGATGTGTCACAGATGACTCATACTGAAGCCCGGTTACAACTGGGAGCAAGGTAATAAACATGCTAATAACTTCAGATAAGGTTGTTTCTCTAGCAGCACTGCCAGTTCAGACCAAAGATCTATCTGGAAGAGGTGTGTGGCAGTTCCTCTGGGGAAAAACTATGTGCAGGACTAGCCTACAATGTAATTTTTGTAGATAATGTTCAGCAAAAACACATAGCAAAGGTTTTATTGTATTCCGTAACGCTTTGCAGACCTTCGTGCATGTCTTTTGAAGCAAGATGTTTTCTATGTTTGCAGTGTTTTGTGCTGGCTGCTTCTATGGCTGTACTCTGAGGTTGTATGCAAAAAGAGCAGTTGTTTTTGGCTTTCAGATTTGTTGCCTGCTAATTTAGTTTGATGACTTTTTTTGCTATGCTGTGGGTTACAGTACAGGCATAATGATAATTCTATTTTAGTACTTTGCTAATAGTTCTTTATACTGGGACTTCTGAGCCATGAGTTAGCATTTTCAGCATTACTCACACTGACTCTAAATATCTCGCTTAAAATAACAGTGACTTCAGAGCCCTATGGACTGTAAACGTAAGGTCATTTTTCCCTTTGGTTTTGGTTTTGTCATCAAGTACTGTGGCTACTTTATCATCCAGTCACTGAAAATCACAAGATCTCTTTGCATTGTCTTCCAGTTCTTGATGCTGGTGCTGCCACTGAAAGATGCTGGCTCATGTCATCCTACAGCTGCTTGTTTGTCTCTTTATTTGACCTAGAGTGCAAACACACACATTGCCATAAAGTGCTATACATGGCGAAGCTGCCCAGAGTGTAAAACTAAGCCTGAGGCCTCCCCTGCCAAGTGGGTTTAAGCAAAACAAGAAACCCTCACCTAAAAGAAAGGAGGAAATCATCAGAACAAAAAAAAAAGCACAGTTCTGTGGTTTGAGACTGTCTTTTAGTGCAATACTGGCTTATGCTGACTTAGAGCAGTTGTGGAGTGAAGGCTTTAATGTGCTGCATATTAACTCCTTAGTTACTCAGAGAGCTTTGTTTTAAATTAAATAGTGGTTGAAGTTGTGTGAACGTTAAGCATAAAAGCTGCATAAGAAACACATGTGGGAACCTACTGCAAGCCATGTGGCCTTCCCAAGGTCATCCTGAGTAGTATAAACAAAGAAAGAGCTGAATGAAAATGTAGTCCTGTGCTGGTAGGCTGGTCTTCAAAACTCCTTTTGAAGCAGTTCTTTCAAAAGACAGTTTCATTGTCATGGCAAATGGGAATGGACTTAAGCCCGTGGTTCATTTTTCTCTTCAGTGTTCAACTGGCGATTGCGTTGTAGATGTGTCAGTTGCCTCATTGTGGAAGACCTTCCAGTGCCTGAAAGGAGCTTATAGGCAGGAGGGAGACTACTTTTTGCACAGTCTAATAGTGATAGAACAAGGGGAAATGGCTTTAAACTGAAAAAAAAAAAAAAAAGGGGAAATTTAGGCTAGTTGTTAGGAAAAAATTATTTGCTTAGAGGATGGTGAGGCCCTGGCACACGCTGCCCAGGGAGGCTGTGGATGCCCCATCCCTGGAGGCATTAAAGGCCAGGCTGGATGGGGCCCTGGGCAGCCTGAGCTGCTGGGTGGCAGTTCTGATTGTGGTCAGGGGTTGGAACTGCCTGGGCTTTAAGATCATTCCAACCCAAAACATTCTATGATTCTACTATCTTGTACTGAGATGATCCAGGATCTTTTGCTGAGCAACCTTGTGAAACACAGGGGGTTGGTTAATACAGAACCACCTGATGAAGAGAAGTCTTGGGAGTGGAGAGAAACTGTAAAGAGAAGCTGTAAAGATAATGGATTTACAGCCTTACCTAAAGCAACACTAGTTTAAAATGCATAGCCTGCCTGTTAGGACCGTTCCTGCTGTTAACTGAAGGGATCTGAACTCATTTCTCACTAAGCCTTCAGACATCTCTTTTTTTTAGGAAACTGCTGTTTCCCCCATTAGATTTGCTTTCATATTAATACATTTGTATATATACTTGAGACTACCTAAAACAGGGTCTCTGAATCAGCTATGAAGTGTTCTTAATGTCAGACCACAAAATAATTGCTCTTTTTTTGGTGTGGTAACTGTTTCTTATTTTATAAGAAGCTGAAATGTGAGAGAACTGGACTTGAAAATTCCTAAACTGGACTTGAACATTCCTAAGCTTGGAGCGAGGACATCCATTCAGATCTGCTGTTCGTGTGCTTGCTGTCAAGGACTTCAAATCATTGGAGTTTACATGATTTTAAATGCCATCAGTATGTGCTTGTCACTTCCCCAGTAGTTTATGGCTTTCCAAACCTTTTGTGTGAGGAGGAAAGCCTTTCAGATGCCACAACTAGTTGTTTTTTCTCTACCTTTTTTTTCTTTTTCTTCCTCTGCCCATTACACATTTAGATAAAAGGAGATTATCACAAGGATTGATGACAGCATTACGTTCTGTAAACCAACATTATGCCTCTTGTATTAAATAAACAAGTGCTCTAATGAGTTAAAAGCAGGTTGGACAATATTCTTATATGAGTTAAACTATGAGGCAGGTCAAGAAATGGAAGCAGAAGTTACAGTTTTTGAAATTAACACCAGGGCAGCCTGGTCTGGTGGTTGGCGACCCTGCACAGAGCAGGGGGCTTGAAACTAGATGATCATTGTGGTCCTTTTCAACCCAGGCCATTCTGTGATTCTGTGATTAGCACTGTAATCGTTAACGTTGATGTTTGTTTTAATGAACAAAAGTCCTAATAGAATCATAATTTAATTAACACAACTCATTTAGTAGGAGATATGTACATATAAATGAAACAAAAGCGTTGTCCTTAGTCTTGTATTTCATGGCAAATACCTTAAGACTGTGAAGTATATTTTGCTGTGACAGACCTAACCTAATTCAGAATTCTCAATGCCATTTCTCATGTAACGTTTCTGAAATACAACTGCAAACAAGAGTCTGCTTTCCAAGCATGTAATTCTGTCCTGGACAAGAGAAATGGAAATTGGTAATTCCCATACAGTCTTTGTGCTTTCATTCCAAAGTTGTCAATTCTAAATTGGCTTTGTTTCACCTTGCAAAATGGCATCCACCTTTTATCATAGTCTGAAGAAACACGTTTCTTAATGTGATGTGTTGCGTTGATTGACTCAGTAATTTGTGATGGTGTTAATTGTTACAAAACAATGTTACTTGGCATTGAGACACACGGTTCAGTGGTAAACACTGCATTAAAATTTATGGCGGACAAATAATTGGAAATTGAAAATCAATTAGAAAATTACTGTAAGGAATGGAAGTGTAAAGCAGTAGAAAACAAGAACAAAAACAAAAGCAGATTTTAAAATATTATAAACTGTCAATTAATACTGCCTGAGAGGAAAGCTGCTCTGGGACTTCCTTTACAGTCAGTGGAGTACACCCCAACCCAAAAGGGCAGTTGTCCTCTGTATTTAAGGCCATAGGTCATTTGTTTAATCTTCTCATGGAAACCAAAGTTCAATTAAACATAGAGTTGGGACAGAGCTAATGTAAAGATGAGGAAAGTGGGAAGCATCTGTGTGCCCTGTAGTTTCATCATAGCCAAATAAAGATTAGCCAACAAGAAATTCAACCTGTTTTGTCCATAAAAGGAGCTTGCAGGCTGGGGCAAAATGACTGCAAGTGTTTGCAGTGCAGGTATCATCACTCCCTAATCTGCCCCCCATAGAATCACAGAATCACCAAGGTTGGAAAAGACCCACAGGATCACCTAGTCCAACCATCCACCCATCACCAATAGTTCTCACTAAATCAAGTCCCTCAACACAACATCCAAACGTTCCTTGAACACCTCCAGGGTGTTCAAGGTGACTCAGTAATGCCCAGTTTGGTTTTGCAGAGTTATGGTTAGAGGGGAACTAGTCACACTTCTATCTTGTTACTGATTCTACTGCCAATTTGACTGTGAGAAATTTTAGCTCTCACGTCCTTCCCCCCTTTTTGCACCTCTTGAAATGGAGCTTGGCTAGCTGTTGCATGGAAGATTCAAATTAAAAGGAGCATTTATTTTATCAGTAAAATTTATTCTGTGAGCACGTCTAGTATTATGAATCACTTGCTTGGCATTGAAGTAGAAACTGTGCAAAACCCCTTTCATGTGAAAAGAATGCATTGGAGGTGACCTGTTGACCTGATGTGTTGCTTAAAAGCTTTAGAAAGCAATATAAAATTTGTACTAGATACTGTGAATAATGTCACTTTAAAAAGAAGTTACTGATAAACATTCCAGCAAGATAAAGCTGGAACTGGGGGTTAAAGTTCTTTTGTGACTTACTCAGGGGACTGGTAAATTGTCTGCTTATTGACATTACGCTTCATTGGTTCAAGCAAGATGTAGAATCTTGAATACCAAATAGTGTAACCAAAGCCAATCAGAATTTGCACCAATAAACTCTGGTTAATACATTTCCTTGAAAAATCACTGCAAGCTGCAGAACACACTTCACTAAATAGAAGAACTTTCATGTTTAAGTGTAAAGGAAGAAGTCAAGGTTATAATTAAAGCCATCAGCAGCTGATGAATGTTGTACGGCGGAGGGTAGATGCATTTGCAAAAACTCACCTCTGTGTGTTTCAACATCTTTCAACAGTATCTGCTTTTCATTTGAACACTGTGGCTGTGCATTTGGAAAGCTACAAATAATAGTGGTTTTTCTCCCTGGGAGAAGAGCACATATGGTTTTACCATGGAAATTGTGATTATCACGATGCTCACCTTCCTTTTCACCAAGTCAAAAAAATAAATAACCTTTTCCAACCATGTGCAAAGCCCATCACTAACACAGTTTTTTGTAAGCTTTTCAAGAAACCAAGTTTTGCCATAGGTCTCCCACTGAGTCGTTGTTTTAAGATATCCAACCATTGCTGGGAGCCAACTGGGATGTGACAGCCACTTATTTATGATCATACACTGTTAACCACTGGCTTAATGAGAATTCTGGGGAGTCAGAAAAGGCACACTGGACTTGCTGTGTCTTGCTGCTCTAAGTAGATTTTGCAATGCAGTGTATATTTTCTTGCTTAGGACATCTCATAATTCTTGTAGGGTAAAATCCGAGGTGAAAATCATCTAATTTAATGGGTTGTTGTGAGTAAATGCAGAAGTTTCATACTTGCTGTTTTCTTCTCTTTCCTACTTGCTCCCAACCTTAGTGTGGTTGCTGCCCTGACCTTTATGCTTCTTCTGGCTCTCTTGGCTCAATTCTCTGCAGAGCTGATTTAACTCAAAATGATGTTTTGCCTTTTCTGTTGACTTTCTGCCATTTTGGTGCATCGTATTGACCTGTGCAGAGGCTGAATTAATGTCAACAGTAGCAAATAGGAGGGAAAGAAACAGGGAAAATGATGTAAAAGTAGGCAGAACCCTTTCATAGGTAGCAAGCTGCTGTGTCCATTCTATCTTGTTACCAGAGAGTTTAATGCTGGAGTTCAAGGATTGTTTGGACAGTGCTCTCTGACATAGTTTTTTGGATGTTGAGTGGTGCTGCAGGGAGCCAAGAGTTGGACTTGATGATCCTTATGGGCCCCTTCCAACTTGGGATATCCTGTGATTATCTGCGATGAAATCGCGCTCCATGCAGTGACAGTCGGAGCAGGAGGACCTGGGACTGGAAGTGTTAACTTCAAAAACTGCAACTTCTGCTTCCATTTCTTGACCTGTCCCTCCCTCATCCTCCATCAATTCCATTTCCTTTTACTGATGCTTTATAAAAAACGATACTTTTTCAGTTATTAATAATTAAAATGTGGATCAAATGAGGTGAGATTTACTCTTAGTTAAGGGATGAGATATTTTCACCGTGAATTAGTGACCTCTCATGGAAAGAAACTTGGATCCTTCAGAGCATAGTGTCATGCTGGTGGGAATAATAAAAAGGAAGAGACACAGTGGCCAGAAGAATGAGAAGTGGAGAAGGTTATGTCTGTGCATTTCCAGCAAGAGCAGCACTGAAAGAAACAAGTGAGAAGCACGTGCACTCCTAAATACAAGGAAAGATGATGCAAACCAGTCCAAGGTCGGGTTGAGAAATGATGGAGAAATCACCCTGTGGTTATGAGTCAGTAACTTATGTTTTGTTCTGTTATGAATGGAACAGCTTCAGTATTGCCCAAAAGCATAACTTACAAATTACACAGTATGAAAAGTTGTGAATCTCAAGTCACTCTCATCTTATTGATCTGACTCGGTAGTTGATACACTCAGAAGCAAAGGGCTCTTTTTTTTTCTACAGTGAAGACTTAATTAAGAGGGTCTTAATGCTGGTTTTAATACTAATAGAACTGGCCTGATTTTGCTAGATGTTTTCTTATGACCTTCAGCCAAGTGATGCAACTTGCTTGACTGCGTGCTGCGTACCTGGCTGTTATTGTACATAGAGATTTGTCATTTGTGCTGTCATATTTTAGTATTGGTAACACATGAATTTGTAGAACCAAACAGACCTTGGACAACAAAATGATGCTTTATGCAGGAAGTGTTGAGCTGATTTGTGGCTTTTAGGGGACTGTTAGGAGGAAAATGCTGCATTTCTGGTTGTGCCTCTGTTTGTTCCCTGTTTGGAGGAATACTGCTTTCCACTGTGAGGAGGCAGCTGCTTTTTATAAGCTGTTCTTCCATTGCTTCTGGATTTCTCATGCTGCTTTCTTGCAGCAAAAGGCACATTATGCGCAAGGATGAGAGTCATGTTTAAAGAAGATGTAACAAACAGGAGCCAGCAACCTGGTGTTTTCAGAATTGATTATAACTGTGGGGCCAAAGTATTTTCCCTTGCGATCTTGATGTCTCAGCAGAATTCTGCTGCGTACGTGACACACAAACAACAGAAGCCTGAGACACTGTTTCTGCAGGACTACTGTTTATTACTAACGTCAGCAGTAGTACCAATGTTAAATCAGCCAGATCCATCCTCATTCCACTTAAACCCACTCTTCGTTGCTTCCTGCCTTGAGCTCTTAGTAGGTTCAGGCTTATTCCAGCTGCCTTGCCTAATGTCCAAATAATTGACTTTAAAATTAAAATGTGTGGACTCTTGGGG